AAAAGAAACCAGGTACCTTGGGGTGGCTGTAAGCAAGGCCCTGGGGCAGATGTTCATCATTCAAAACCCTAACGCCCCATTTCACAGCCTGCATGAGATCGTAGATCAAGACCACAGTCAGCAGATATTCGAGCCTCTCAGTGCGGCTGGCCCTTGGGTCAGGAGCCAGTCACAGCGTTGGAAGTGGGGATGCACAGCATCGGGCCATCACCCTGGCCTGAGACAGGAAACAGCTCTGCAAAATACGCCTGGCCCCCGGGTGTGGGCCAAGCCTCTAGGCCACAGTGAACATCTAGGAACAGGGAAGGGAGAAGAGCCCCGAGGTGCTGCGGATACCTTTTAAAATCTTCGGCCTTTTGTAAAAGGTCAGATACACAAACCTGTCTTCTACGTAAACTGCTTTCTGGAACCAGGAGGGCACCACGGGCAGGGCCGAGGGGCTGTCACACAGGTGAGAGACTGCTCAGGACGCTCCGAGGACAAGTCTGCCGGACCTGGCCAGGCACCCTGAGCCCGGAGCCCCGCCCCGAAGCCCAGGCTGTAGGTGACATGCCGAGGGAATGGGGCAGCTCGCCCGCGGCCGGCGTGCAGTGGGGGCTGGAATCGCCCTGACCTGGGATGTCTGGAAAGGACACGCTTGCTGGCAGCTGCTGAGACAGCAAATCTCTCCCCACTCAGGAGCACCAGGCTTGGCGCCCCCGCTGCCAGCACCGGCCCTGTCCAGTCAGCCTGGTTTGTTGTTTCAACAGGAAAACGGTGCCCTCCAGGGGCAGGTCCTCAGAAAGGGTGAGAGAGAGGACTGGGAGTTTCCGGGTGCTCTCCAATCCCCAGCGGGTGCCCCCAAGAGGAATCAGTCGACACTGAACCCCGACACCAAGCTCCGGGAGAGTCGCTGGGCAACAGCCCCGGCCGCCAGACATCACTGGCTGGCCACAGAGCGCCCCCACCAGGGCCTAGGTGAGAGTGATCTCACAGTCAGACGGCATGGCTGACTCCACTGAAATGAACCAACCCGCCTTCCTCTGGCAGGGAGATGTGGGAAGGAGTTGGAGGAGGCAGCTGGAAACACGGAAGCCATGGAGTGTGGTCAAGGGCAGGGTGCCCAGGTGGGATGCAGCAGGGTCCTGCTTGAGTCTTGCTGTGCGGCCTGGGATGTGGTATTGTCCTCTCTGGGCCTCGGCACCCCCATCCGTGAATGAATGAGGTGGTTGGACTAGGGGTCCCCACAGTCCCTCCCAGGCCCACGACTCAGCACAGAGGTACCGGCTGAGCTTGTGGGGGGGCCGGGCCGTGAGAGCAGTCAGAGGAGCCCCAAGGCCAGGGCTGGGCAGGGGCTGGGGCTGCAGGCATCGAGTGCAGGCCACACCTGCCTCGTCCCTCCAGACGGGCTCACCCCACGGGCATAGGAGCCACCCTTGGGCCCCCAGTGGTGCCCAGGCAGAGTGAGGCCGGGAAGTCACTGCCTCTCACCCGCGCAGCACGGCGCCTCTGGTGCCCAGCCCTGTGCCGAGCGGAGGCACACAGGCCCAGTCCAGCGAGGTTATCCAGCAGCAGACAGAGACACAGAGGGCATGGGCCGGGGTCCCGGGGACCACAGTCAGGGTGGAGCTACCAGGTGCAGTGAGTGTGACCCGGAGCCATGATGGCAGCAAAGCTCTTGACAGGGCTTGTTGGAATCGGGGTCCTAGGAGGCCACAAGAGGGGGTCTGGGACCAGAGGGCCTGGCTTGGGCCTAGCCCTGCTGGTTACCAGCCCTGTGACCCACAGCAAGCGGTTTGACCCCTGTGGGCAAAGCCTCCCCCCGGGCTGTCCAGGTAGGAGGAGTGCAAGGCAGTGCAGCCAGCCTCCCGCACTGGCCCAGCCTGGCTCTGTCCGAGCAGCTGTGCACAGGAAACCAGCGCCGGAGCTCCCTGGGGCTTTCCTCCCCTCCCCGCTTCCTTCCCTGCGGCCCGACCCTGGGGATGGACCCACGGCCACCACACAGAGCCACATCCCAGCCCTTTTTATATTTTGAGAAGAGCTTCCAGTACTAAGTCTCTAACTTGCCCAGGTCTGTCTAGAACTTGTGACCCTCCTGCCCCCATCTCCTGGGCGGGCTGACAATGCATGCACCAAGCCCCCACCGTCCTCTCCCTCCTGGGGGACACTGAGAACAGACAGCACCCCACCTGGCAGTGATCACGGTGGGAGAATAAGCACATCTCCAAAGGGGGCGCAGAGAGGGGGACAGCAAACCGAAGGGTGAGGACAGGCGAGGAAGGCAAGGACAGGTGAGGACAGGCGAGGAAGGCAAGGACAGGTGAGGACAGGCGAGGACAGGTGAGGACAGCCAAGGACAGGCGAGGACAGGCGAGGGGCTTGGCCGCCTGTAGGCCCGAGGGGCAGCTGAGATTGATCCTCACTGCGCCACCAGCTGCCTGGGCCATTCCCAGCACAGCCCTCGCCATCCCCGCACAGCCACACAGGGGCACGGGGCAGGCACGAGGCCGGCCTCAGAGCTGTGACAGGGTCGACAGAACCTTAGGAGACTGCTGCGTCCTGAGAGCTGGGCCTGAGCCCAACCCTGGGCAAAGAAGACCCCGGCTTGCCACTCTCCAGCTAGGGCTGGGTCTCCCTGCAGGGAAGGAGCCCTTGGGGCAAGTGGCACATATTCCACTTCTGCAGTGAAACAGGCGCCAGGCCGGTCTGGAAGGGCCAGGCCCACCGGACATGCCCTGGCTTGGTGGTACCGGGCACCAGAGCGGGAGGGCTCCATCGCTGCACCTGGGGCTGCGGGTGCCTCCCTCTGACCATGAGAAGATACGCGTGGGCAACTACAACCCAGTGACCTTTTTAGGGGTGCGAGTGTGCAAAGCATTCGTGCACAAGTGCGAGACCGCAGAGTCCCATGGACACGGCTGCGCAGCAGGTGCAGGCGGCTGCTGTCTGTGGAAAAGAGAAAGTGCCACATTTTGATTTAGAGAACGGAGACCTGAGGACGACACCCACTCCTCTAAAACTTCAGTCCTGGGCCCTGCAGCCGGTGGGTGCCCCGGGAGTGGGAGCCCTGGACGGGGAGAGAAGGGGGAGCCCCCCAGTCGGTGGTCCGGGATGCACAGAGGCCCTGCTCAGACGAAGCAGTTAGGCGGGGGCAGGGTGGGACAGGTGTCCTGCTGTGTGTGGCTTGGAGGTACCAGGTCAAGGCCTCCGTGATCACAGGTCAGAGACAGAGACTGAGGAGGCACAGAGCAAATGGGGCCGGGGATGTGCATCCGGGGATGTGCCCTGCTGTCCCTCTCGGCCCAGCCCTTCTCTGGGGAGGGACCCAGGCTGGCAGCCCTGGTGCCATGTGCTGCCTCTGCAGTGGCCCAGGTGGTGCCCGTGGTGCCCAAAACACAATCACAGGTTCTCAGGGCCCAGGCTGGCAGTGCTGAGGAGCCTGGACCCACAGGGGTGGTCCAGGGGACACGGAGCCTTCTCCTTCCCTGGTGGCTGCTGCCTGCCCCCCACCCACCCAGACCCCACCCAGTGCAAGAGCGCCACCTGAGAAGCCTGGGGTCTGGCCCACAGGGCCTGGACTCAAATGCTGCCTCTGGTGCACGTGAGCCCCGTGGCCCTGGGCAGGTTCCTTAACCTCCCTAGCCTCAGTTTCCCTCACTGGCCACATGCGGCTTTCTGTGATCACAGAGGACCCGCAGACAGGGCTGGGCTATGTGGTCACTGCCCACTGTAGGGTTAGGACAACAGGGGACGAGGTGGGTGGGTGGGCGTGGGTCGCCGCATGGCTGGTGGTTGTGTAGGGAGGTCAGAATTTCCGCACTCCTTGAGTTCAAGATGCCTGGGAGAACAGGAGCATCTTTCACGGACCTCCTTGGACAGCTCCTCACGCCCACTGCATGGAAGGCTTCAGACCGCGCCCTCTTGTGGCGCCTCAGCTTCCAGAGGATGCGTCAAGCCCAGGACCCCGGCGGTCTGTGACCCAGTTTGGACCATGGTGACATGACCACGTTGTTTACCAGGACACAGCCTGCAGTGTCACTCCAGGGACACAGCTGGACAGCTTTAGAATGGCAGGGCCGCACGCTCCGCACACAGCCCACGGCCACACGCCATGGTGCGCCCCCCAGGTGTGCTGCGGCCAATGACAAGTGTGACACAGCCCACTCAGCCACACAGAGGACGGAGCTCGGGCACACAGGCCCCAAGGACGAGCCTGCCATGCACGGTACGGAGTCGCAGATGCCAGGGACGCACGGCCGTGTACCACACAGGCCTGCCACAGTGGGCAGGTCACAGAGACAGAGCAGGGAGCAGAAGAGGGGGAAGGACTGCTCAATGGACGGGGTTTCCCTGTAGGAACACAAAAGTGCTCGGGGACAGACAGTGGTGATGGCTGATCCACACGTAAATACACTAAAAACCACTTAGTCATGTACTTTTGTTTTTTTTCATCTTTTTGAGACAGGGTTTCACTATGCAGTTCAGGCTGGCAATGAACTCACTTTGTAGACCAGGCTGGCCGCAAATTCACAGTGATCCTCCTGCCTCAGCCTCCCAAGTGCTGGGATTACAGGCGTGCGCCGCCACTCCTGGCAGTCATGTACTTTAAAGGGGTGAATTTTATGATATGTAAATAATATATGTGCTTTACAACTTCAACTGACAATTTTAGGCTACTTACAGTGAACCCCTTGGCTGGGTTTGGTGGCATATACTTATAATCCCAGCATTCAGTAGGCTGAGGAGGAGGATTCCCGGGAATTGGAGGCCAGCCTGGGCTCCACAGTGAGTTCAAGACCAGCCTGAACTACATAGCAAGACCTTGTCTCAAAAAGAAACAAAAAGTGAGACCCACCTGAAACACTCTAAAATGATTCCCGGCACCTCATCCAGTGACCTGCTTTCCCTTGGCGGAAGGCAGGAACACACAGAAGGTGCCCCTCCCCCAGGGCCACAGGGCTGGAGTAGGAATCCCGCCCCACCACAGGAGAATCACAGGCACCACTAAGCAGCAGCCAGTGTACAGGTTCACAGAAAACATTTATTCACTGCGCGCACACCAGAACCGTGCCCATGTCCACGCCCACACAGCTACGGCTAAGAGCCGCCAGGCAGCAGTGCTTGGGCTGAGCCCCGGGTGTGAATCCATCCTACGGGAAAATAGTGGTCATCACAGGCTCCTCCCACCAAGGCCTTTCACTGGGGATCTTGACCGCGCCTCACGTTCCTACTGATGTTCTTGCAGGTGGGTGCAAATGGTAAAGTCAAACTGGAAATGCCTGGCTGGAAGGCAGGGAGAGGAGACTGTCCCCGGGCCAGGACCCCACCCTGGGCGCACCCTTCGCAGGGAGGGCGGGACCATGCACCCCCAGGCACCAGGCTCCCCTCTGCACTCAGGGACGGGAGGCCCAGGCTGGGAAGAAGTCCAGTGGGGACCCGGGCACATCACTCAGCTGGCCATCCACTCCCTCCGCTGCAGAGGGATGAAACCCCTGCCAGGCAGAGCTGAATGGAAGGGCCCAGAGCTCAGCCTCTGTCTCAGGGCAGCACAGGGCAAGGCGAACTGGGCCAGACGAGACGGCTCTCGATGCCCAGAGGATGTCCGCACCTGTGGCTGAGCACTGGGCATGGGCAGCTACCAGCTCCAAGTCATGGGCCTGCCAGGCTGTTCTGGACAGGGTGTAGATGAGGGGGAACGGCAGGGCCGTTCCCAGGGACCAGGGCCAGGGGCAGGGGTGGGTGGACACTGCTATGCCCGTTTCCTCAGGATCAAAATGCCTGGGGAGTGAGCGATAGGCCCAGGCCACCCACGGCGCCCACTGCCCCCTGCTCACCGAACGACCGTGACGACACTTGGGCGGAGGCTCACAATGCTGAGGCTGAGGGGCTGCCCGCCCTGGGGCCCGGAGCTCATCCTGGGGAAGGGCCAGTAGCTGCCCCTTGAGCAGCTGTCCCCATCGCAGATCTGCCGGTGGCTGTGCCGGGAGCGTGAGTCCAGGGGGCGCCTAGGGGCAGCGGCACGGTGTGAGGACAGGGCCCAGGAAGCAAGGACCGCGAGGCTGGCGGGCCTCTCGCCCTGCCCACCAGGACGGAGAGCGCTGCCGGTGTATTTCCGGGCCGGAGAGCTTCACGGGAGGCTTCTCGGCCTCTCTCTCGGAGCGAAGCACGGAAGGGCTCCCAAGGGCTCCTGGAGACGCAGTGTGGAGCTGCGACTGGTGAAGGGTGAGGGAAGCTTAGATGGAACCAGACTGAGGTGTGCAGCCGCACGGTGGGCCGTGGACTGGGCCGCTGGCACTCTGCGGGGGAGCAGGCACACGCCCGCAGCGACGCTCCTCGGCAGAGGCCACACCGGCAACACCAGTCCCACAGATCACCACTGTGGCACAACACCTCCTGCGCAGCCGTGGAGAATTGGGAGCCGAGCCTCAAACCATCTGCCACACGCTCAGTTTGTCCTCAGGATTTTCCACTCTGAGCACTTTGCATCTTTAATAAAAGTCCGTGCACGGGCCAGGGATGTAGCTCCGGGTCCGGCAGAGGACAGGGCCGGAAGAGCAGTCTCATTGGCGGGGGGAGTGGGGTGGAGGGGGGCGCCGGGGACTGCCTGGCTCAAGGAAGGCAGCTAGATTAGACCTGGCTGTAGGGGGCTGGGGATTTAGCTCAGCAGCACAACACCTGCCTGGCAAGCGCAAGGTTGTGAGTTCGAGAGTTCGATTCCCAGTACGACGGGGCGGGAGTCGGGGGAGACCTGGCTTTAAACGGCCCCACCCAAAGGCCACGATCGCGTTACTCGATCGCCTCACCTCCATGGCTGGGACAGCGCTTCCTTTACACCACCAAGAGGTGCACGTCTCCCGAGAACCCTTCCCCCGCACCCCTGCGAATCCCGCTCACACCGCCTTCCCCAGAACACCAACCCCACAATAGTCACTCCTTCACAGGTGCCCTCTCAGAGGCCTTGCTGCGCAGAGCTGGCACAAGGCTCCCAGGCAAGGACAGGACACCAGGCAGAATGGGACACATCAGCCCCAGCAGAGACGCGCCTTCCAGGTGCAGCCCAGCCCACCTGTGTTAGAGAAGCCACCCCGGGGCTGGGGATTTAGCTCAGCGGCAAAGCGCCTGCCTGGCAAGTACAAGGTCGTGAGTTCGGTTCCTGGTACCGGAGAAAAACCAAAAAAAAAAAATAAAAAAATAAAAAAAATAGAGAAGCCACCCCTGGGGCGGGTGCCATGAGCGTGAAGGCCTGCGCATGGTGAGTGTACGGTCTGTATGAGTACTGTCCTCGAAGACACCAGTGCGAGCCCCAGGAAAGCCCCCAGGCTGGAGGCACCAGCCCTGGCAGATCCCAGTGGCCCTGCCCTGGAACACCGTTGTGGCAGGGCCTCCCCTCGCAGGTACCCCCTCTGCCACCTGTGCCAACCATGGAGAGGTGCAGAAGGCCATTGGGGAGGGTCAGGGCCAGGCGAGGGGGAAGGTGTGGAGAGGGCAGCCAGGTAGGGGAGCAGGGAGGAGGAAAAGGAGCCGGAGAGGAGGGCGAATAGGGCAGCAGTGCGGGTGCCAGAACAGCCCACAGCCCAGGGAACAGGGCCCAGGCAACTGTCTACCTCACGCCGGCCTTCCCGCCACACAGCACCCCACTACCGCTGTCGGCAACCCTCCTGGCTCTGTGGGGAGGGTGCCGGCCGCCTGTGCCCCACCGCCTGCGTGCCCTTCCCTGTTCAGTGCTCCCCATCCTTGGCGCCTCCTTCTTACCTTCTTCTGCGACCTCAGCCCCCGGGGGACCCAGTAGGGCATCACAGCCTGGTCCCTGGGCACCGGGAGCAGGCCCCCAAAGCGATGGCATGGGCAGAGGCAGGCCTTGGCGGGTGTGGAGACACGAGGCTGGACCATCTTCGGGGCCTACCAGAGGGAGGGAAGAGAAGGTTCAAAGGGAGTGGGGCCCGGCCTGGACCACCCCAGCTAAGTGCAGCATCAGGACGCCCCACAGGGCTCCTCTCGGGTCCCCTCCGCAGACACGCCCACCGCCCAGCTGAAGGAACACAGTCTCCCTACCATGATGGCCCAGAGGTGGGCGACACAGACCTCAGGGGTCTGCCTGGCCCAGCACCTGCAGCGTCACTGGCATGGCACCACAGCAGGCCACATGGGCTGGGCTTGGGAGCACAGGCTCTGTCCCAAGCCGAGGCTCCAGGTGCGGCCTCAGCGTGCCTGGCTCTGCAGAGCCAGGGGCCAGCAAGCCCCTTCTGGGGACACAGCCCACGAGGACACCTCTGCATCTACAAGGGGCATGACTGTCCGCAGTGCCCGAGCAGCCTGGGTGCCCATCACAAGGAGCAAGAGATCACTTCCCTCCCTCTGCACCCTCCCCACCACGGTGCCAGAGGGCCCTGCCTGGGCTCCTGTGGCCCTGACGGGATAAGGACAGCCTGGATAGCTCCGTGACCAGCACGCACTAGGCCCGCTCTCCCGGCCGCTGCTGCGCTACCGCAAACAAGACACTGTCCTGCCGTGGGACCGCACTGCCCAGCGTGTCCAGCAGAAGAATATGCAAGCACGGGGGATGGGAGAGCACCTGAGCTGAAGTTTTCCCCGAAATCATCCCTGAGCCAGATCAGAGGGAGCTGGTGTGCTAGAGAGGCCGGGAGGACGGCGCGCACCCATGTGAGACCCCCAGGATGTGGACACCAGAGCGGATATCACTGTGGGCAGGCTGTGTGTCACCCACTGGGCAGGCATTTCTTGCCCCATCCCCCCTAAAGAATGCAGTTTTGCTCAGGGGGCAAAGCGCCCCGACCCAAGTGAGAAGATGGCACATCTCAGTAAGATTCAGGAAAGATAACGCTGACAGATTCAGCATTATCAGAATGTAAAACCCCTCTTTGAAAGGCACTGATAAGATAAAAACAAGACAAGCCAAAGACATGGAAAAATAAAACCTGAACATCTGATAAAGGAACAGCATCCAGAATACTAAAGACCCCTTAAACTCCACAATAGAAAAAAAGCTACTTGTTTAATATGCTCATATTAAACAGGCACTATGGGAAGTAACCCTGACAGAAAACTTTCAGTATCATCAGTCATGACAGACATACAAACGAGAACCACAAGAAGATAGGGGCACCTCAGGAAGAAGACAGATAAAATTTAAAAGATTATTTATGGGGCTGGGGATTTAACTCAGCGGCACAGGGCCTGCCTGGCAAGCTCAAGGTCGTGAGTTCGATTCCCAGTACCGGAAGAAAAACCAAAAAAAAAAAATTTATTTATTTATTTATTTATTTATTTTGGTTTTTTAGACAAGGTCTTGTGATGTAGCCCAGGCTGACCTCAAACTCCTGATATTCCTCCTGCCTCAGCCTCTTGAGTACTGGTATTATAGGTGTGCACTACCACGCCCAGCCAAACAATTTGATTTCTTTTTTTTTTTTGAGGCAGGGTTTCACTATGTAAAAGACTGACCAAAGCAAGCCCTGGAGAAGCTGTGAAGGAAATGGAACTTTACACACTACCCATGGGCGTGTCAGATGGTGTGACCACTTTGGAAAGCAGTTGGTAGTATCTTAAAAAAAAAAAATGTCAAACATGCACAGACAATTCCACGCCTAGGTATTTACCCAAGGGAAACAAAGGCAGGTGTCCTTCCAAGACTTGTACACAAATGCTCATAGGGGCTTTTATCTACCACAGATGAAAAGTGGAGACAGTCCCGGTGCCCTCCTGCACAGACAGGTAAACGCCATCTGCTCATATAACAGAACACTGAAAAGGAGCCTCTGAGCCACATGGGTAACTCTCAAAATAATTTGCTAAGTGAAAGGAGCCATACAAAAAGAACACACAATATGTAAGACTATTTACATAACATTCTAAGAAATGCTAGATAAGCCATAGAGGCAGAGAGCAGGTTGCCTGGGAATGCCAGAGCACTGCCTGGGGGCTGAGAGAACAGATGCTGAGGTGGAGCTACAAAAAGTGGCACAAGGGAATCTTTAAGGGCCGGGCGTAGGCCCGTCATGTGGATGGTATTGTGGTTTTCCCAGGAACGTGTTTGTCAAACCGTACCATAATGTACCCTTCCATATGTACAGTTATCAATGTCAATCATGCCCCCATAAATTTTTTTTTTTGACTTGTGATTTTTTTTTTGGTACCGGGAATCGAACTCAGGACCTTGCACTTGCCAGGCAAGCACTTGTGCCACTGAGCTATATCCCTTGCTGAGCATAAATATATTTTTTAAGAAGCACAAACTGTCTCCCAGGAATTCTAAACTATCATTCACATAATGCTTGTAATTCTGACGTACACCCTGGGCCCCCGGTGAAGACCCTTGGCAAGACACCTACCTGTTTTTGGGGTCTCAAGGACAGAGGGACCCAGTAAGGCAGTGCTGCCTCGGCCTTGGGCACAGGTAGGTGGCCCCTGAACCTGGCACGGCACTTACAGCAGATGTGCTCTTGGGAGCGGCCCAGCTTAGGCAGCAGGTTGGAACACTAAGCAAGATCCAGAAAAGACAGGATTAAGTATTTTGCAGCACTTCTAGTGTAAGCCAAGGAACTGTCTGGAATCAGTGGCCACAAGGAGAAGCAGCAGAAGCCCAGCTCCTACTGTAGGTCCAGAAAAGGCAAAGCATGTGGCTGGTAGTGAGGCACACGAAGCCTGCAGGCCGGGTGGGGGGTGTTCTCAGCCACACAGTGCTGCCCTGTGTGAACAAGTCCCAGTTCCCCTCTGCCAAGGCTGGAGCTCAGCCAGTGCTGGAGGCAAGTGGGGAGCTGAAGCCCTAGGTTCACCGGTTGTTCCTCACACCGCACTTAAAAGCCGCAAAAGAACTCATCCCCTCTAGGGGGAGATGAAGATGCTCATGCCCAGACCTACACCGAGGGGCTCTGCTGCCTCCCCTGGACTCAGGTGTTCTAAGCACCTACACGGACTGGGGATCGGTGATGGCCCCTACAACCACACTTCCATGTCTGTGACCCTTTCATGAGACACAACCTCTGGTCCCACATCCTCCACGACTCCCACCCCACAGAGCTGGGACAAAGAAGCTGAGTTTGTTTCCTTACTGGACGATCTGTGAAGCACACTTCTTTCCTGAAGGTTTGAAGTGTGCTCTCCCTGGAAAAGAAGAACAGGGAGACTTAGAACACTCCCAGCTTTGTGTTTATTGGGGGCAACCTGCTGGGAGAGCAGGTCCTGCCCTGCTGGACCTGACTCTTGGCACAAAGTCCTGCGAGGCAGGGCCATCTTTCTGAGGCCCAGAGGGGCTGAGGGTGACAAGCCGGAAGAGGGCTCACACACGTGCCACAGCCGGGCTCCCAAGTACTGGCTGCTATGGACTCCTAATTCCCCAGCCAACCCCCTCCAACACACTGCAGCTAAACTTGTGCCTGGCCCATCAGGAAAGACTTGAGAGTTCTAACCTGGTGAGGGCCTTCCAAGACATGGGGCTGCCAACCACCCACCTGCGACACTTGATCAGATTCCCCCAAGTTTACTGGCATACTGGAGGGAAACGCCCTCAAGCTGCACAGAAGAAAGTCCTTCCAGTGTAAAAACCTGAGTACTTTTGTCTCTAGGATAACAAAGCGTTTGGAGCTACACAGACTTGGTCATGCATCCCCATTCCTTCCCAACAAACTGCTACATCGTTGGCCATAGAGCCCCCACCAGGTATAAAACACAAAGGAGAGCCAGCTTCCCTAAAGCGAGTTAGTAACAGGGAGACTGCAGACTTTATGACGGAGTGTTCTGTTTGGTTTTTGGTACAGGGAATCAAACTCAGGACCTTGTGCTTGGCGGGCAGGCGCTTCTGCCACTGAGCTATCTCCCCAGCTCAGCGTTCTGGTGTATCGTACTCAGTACTGCTATTTTACCTAGAGTTGCAGCTTCAGGCTGACGCTTGACTGTGACTCCCTCCCCCGCGCCCCCCGGGGCTGGGGATGGAACCCAAGGCTACATCCCTCGCCCTTGAGCTGATGCTGAAGGCCTGGGCGGAGGTGGGGGCGGTTGTCCCACACAGAGCCCCCCCGCCCCCCAATGACAGCGCGCTGTGTTCCGGGAGGCGGGGCCGCACCATCTCAGCCACACACTTTAGGTGGGGCGGCCCGGCACTCCCAGCCCGGGAGGCGAGGTCGGACCGCTCTTGGAATGGTGTCCGCGCAGTGGCCGGCCCTGCCCGCCCCTCGATCTCCCCCGCGGGGCTCTGTGCCCGAGTCACGGGGGGGAGACACGCTTGTCCCGTGTTAAGGCGCCTAATCTGACCGCGTGGAAACTCGAGAGATCGTGGCGATGCTGCCGCACAAGCGAAAGGAGCTCAGGACGGAGAGAGGCCGGGGCGCCCGCGGTGCGCAGGCCTGCTCCGGCCTCCGAGGTCGTGTAAACCCTAAGCTGCCTTTTCGTGCCTCGCTCCTGCGGGCTCAGCCGCCGCCGCGCAGGCGGCCCCGGGGCTCCCGGCGCTCGGGTCGTCCCGCGTCATGACGCGCTTCGGGGCGAGCGAATGCTACGGAGCCGAAGCGCCTCCGCAAGGGTCTGGGCCTTCGCGAACTGCATCGTGCGGACCACAGCGAAAACGAAGCCCAGCTCCCACGCGCGCCATCTCCCAGGGCTCGCAGCAACTTCCGCGCCACAGCCTTCAGCCGCCTTCCCGGCTTGCACCTCGGCCTCAAGCTTCCTCCGTACGCGCCACTGATTGGCCCGCGCTCAGCCATTCAGGTGACGCCTTGTATGGACGTGCACTTAGCTGGCAATTGATTGGTCCCTCGGGCGGGGCTCGGGGTCCGCGGGGCAGAGCGGACCGCTGGACTACGGGCCGGTCGCTCAGCGTTCTGTCGCGGTGGCCTTTCCCTAAGCTGCCTCCGCGACGGCGGCTCTGGAAGCCCCCCGCCCTCGACCTGACTGACTCACCATTTCCGACCGACGGGCCTGCGCACCGGTGGGGCGCCCCAGCCGGGGTCTTGGTCCCCTGCAAGGAGAGGAAAACATGGCAGCAGCCCTGCTCGGGCGCGAGAGGGTTGGGAGAGGAAGGGCGCGTTGGGAACGCAACTAGGTGGTCAGGTTTGTTTTGTTTTTTTTTTGTTTTGTTTTGTTTTTCTTTACATACTGAGAAACCCAAAGTTTTTGCGTTGAGCTACATTCCCAGCCCCTTAAAAAAATTTTTTAAATTACTACCTTGAGACAGGTTCTCCCTGAGTCACTTAAGTTTTCCAGGCTGGGCTCCAACTCAGGATCCTCCTCCCTCAGCCTTCTAGGGTGCTGGAATTACAAGTGTGTGCCACCAAGCCCTGCTAAGGAACACCCCTTGGGGTATCTCGGACATGAGTATATTCGGTCAGTCACTCTCTGAAATTCATTTTCATGCGCTAAATCTGACACCCCTACCAAAGGGCTTTGTGACCTTCAGGGAAATGTGTATTTCTTGAACAACGTTGGGGTTAAGGGTCGTGGAATTCAAAACAGCTGCCATCTAGTCTGGTGCTCTTTGAGCCCAGAGACCTCTAGCCGGTTTTTCCTTTGTTCCTTAGTCTCTCTCACCCCTCGTGTGTGTTTGGGCAGTTGTGAGATGGAGTCATGATGTGTATCCACATTGTAGTAAAACTCGGTGCTCTCTGCTTCTCGTTTTAGTCTTTAAATTATCTCAAATTGCACTTTATACTTCTTGGAAATGGTTGGGGTTCTAAAACTCTCCATTAATGTTGGTATTTGCCAAAACTCTTAAAAGCAACTGTGAGCAGTCCCCCCCTGCACTGTATTCCAGTCAGAAAGCCAAGAGGATGTGTCCAGGTACTGCTGGGATTTCTTGGCTCCATTATTTAAACATTAGGGTTTTGCCCTGCGTGGTGGCGCATGCCTGTAATCCCAGCACTCAGGAGGCTGAGGCAGGAGGATCGTTGTGAGTTGGAGACCAGCCTGGGCTACAAAGTGAGCTCAAAGCCAGCCTAAGCTGCATAGCGAGACCTTGTCTCAAAAAGACAAAAAAAATAATAAACATTAGCGTCATGATCTGTCAGGGCCAAGCTTCCAGCCACTGCACACAAGCATGCTTTACTGACCAACACCTGCACTGAATGGGAGGTGCCCCTGCCTTACTAGTGCTGAATATTTCAGCTGTCACCCATGGGTGTCAGGATGTGTATATGGCTTCTCTGTGTCTCCATTTTCCTCCTGAGGCCACTGAAACATCAGCCTAGATTAGCAGGGCATAGAAAACAGACTCATGTGTCTCTGGAAGCTCTGGCCCTCACCACTGAGACACCCCCTTGTTTGATGTGAAGAGTACTCTATCACTATCCTCACCCACCCAAGAATGGCTAAAATTAAAAAGAGAATGCCAAGTCTGTCAAGGATGTGGCAGCTGGAACCCTTCTTGTACATTGCTCAGTAAATTAATAAAGCCATATGGGCAGTATTTATAAAACCTAAATATGAACCAACTAAACCTAACCAACTGACTCTACACTTCACATAGGACAAATAGCTTAAATACACCAGCACATGAACAAAAATATCAACAGCAGCTTCCATAAGTTCCAAGCTGGATATCTGTCCTAGATATCTACTCTCTGGAGAGAAGATTTGTGAAAGAAACGATGGCATAGTCACACAGAAGCACGTGGTGGTGGAAGAGGACAACTGCAACCCACAGCAACATGGATGAAGAATGCAGGCGAAGAAGCAGGGCCCCAAACATGCATCCAGTATGCGTGTGTGACATTCACAACGAGGAAGGAGAACCCACACAACACAGGCTGTGCTCCGAAGGACACTCCACCCTCCCTGCCCCTGGAGGTTCCCAGTCCTCACTTTGCCTCTGAGTCTGACGCAAATATCAGGCAAGTTGCATAACTTCAGAGCCTCAGATTTGTATGTAAAATAATGATAATCCTAGAACTAATCCCAGGCACATTTTTTGTTTGTTGAATTTTGTTGCGTGCTGGGGATGGAACCCACAGCCCCCCACACACTGGGACTGGTGCTGTGCCATAGATCTACATCCCAGCCCCCAAAGCAGTTACAGAAGCTCAGAGACAGATGGAAATTGTAAAGGAAAGCCAGGACATTGTGAGGGTTCAGCACAGGTCAGTTTATCCCGTGAGTGGCAGGTGAGTTCATTCTCTCTCAACTCCTTCCTGAAGCTGGTTTACTGCCTCAGAAGAGGGAAGCAGGCTGAGAGAAGCCTGTGGCTAGCAACTGTTCCTCTTCCAGATGCTGTTTCCAAAACCCCCAGGTCAGGGGAGCAGAGAGCCAAGAGAGTCCAAGAGTCATGAGGACCCAAGCCATGTGAACAGAAGCTGCTTGAGCCCAGAGAGGAACAGTCCTAGGTATCCCCTACCACCCTCCCCAGGCACGCCGTCAGCCTGCGCTCGCCCGGAGGCAGGGCTGTTGGACACAGCTATGCAGTTCGTTCACCAACCGAGGGCCCCTGGCTGACAGCACAAGTGTAGTTCACCTTTGCCTGGTGCTCAGCTTGCCGCAGCACACACCCTGGCCCGGGCTGGGCCTGCACCCAGACCTCCCCAGAGGGACCACCGTGTCAGTCTGCACAGAAGCCCCTTGGGCTACGGGTGACCCTGCAGCAATGGCTGAACCTGCACTGTGCAGCTTCCTGGCTTGACAGGGAAGATGTGTGCCCGCCAACACGCACCTCTGCACACCCAAGGCTGCCAGCATATGTCACCGCTTTGCCCAGCCCACATCTGGATGGAGGAAGCCCTCAGCAAGGACAGGGAAGGTGGATAAATGTTCCAGCAGCTTCACACCGTGGCAGGATAACTCCAGAGCAGACGCTGCACCTGCTCCCGGTGCTCTCGTAGGACCGAGCTCCAGCTGCCCACACTGCTGCCCTTCCTGACACCTTTGCTGGCTGCTGCCGTCCTCGTCCCGTCTCTCAGATCACTTCTCCAATAAACTACTTGCAAATCTTCATCTCAAAGTCTGCTTTCAGGAGCCCAAACCCAGACACCCCCCTTCCCACCACCTGCCAAGTCACGCTTGCTGCGTGGGGCCTTGTTCAGATTTGTAAAAGCCCATGTGCCCCTCTCTGTGTGCTGCAGGCCTGTGCCAGAGGCCAGGGCTGGGGCCCCTATTCACCCACAGGAAAGAGCAGTGCCCTTTGGAGACCTGCTGGGCAGAGGTGACAGTCAGTGCCAAGGCAAGTGCTAACGAACTGTTTGGGGAAGAGCTGGACAGATGCAGTGCAGCCAGCAGGTGGGGAGGTAACAGCAGCTGCGCTGCAGTCTGCAGCAAGATTGCATCTGGAGTTCCCGAACTGCAGGAAGAGGAAGACAAGGGACATTCCTTCCCCAGCCCTTGTTTCAGACAGGATACTTCTGAAGCATTTGAAGCTTCCCGGGGGAAAGGCAAGGACTGCCATCCACTGCAAATGAAGACTGCCCTCCGAGCAGAGCCGTGGGTAACGCCCTCTGCTGGGTTTGGGCGTCTACCAGGAAGGCACAGTGTCGACTCCATACTACCATTCGCCAAAACAGAAGGCCCCAGCTCAGCCGCAAGGCCCTATGGGTAGACAAGCGCAGGGAAGAGACACCCACCCTCGGGAAGGGCACCCTCTTCAGGGCGGCCTGCAGCAGGTGCCTAGACCCCTCCACTTGCACAGAGCAGGAGACCTGAGGTGGAGGCAGCCAGAGCACGCGGCCCTGCACCGGAGCCTGACTACCACATCACGTGTCTGCACGGGGCAAGCAAGCTTCGGAAACATGCAGACACCCCATCGCTAAGCAGCAGAGAACTCAACCTCTGTGGTTTTGTTCTGAAGCTAGTTTATCACTCCAGGATAGCCTTGCCTAGGGCTGGGGATATAGCTCAGCAGCACAGGCACCTGCCTGGGAAGCACAAGGTCCTGAGTTCAATTCCCAGTTAAAAAAAAAAAAAAAAAGATGACCTTGCCTAATCTGACCAGTGATGAGTGTAGAAAATGAGCTAACTTAGCCCAAGAGCTCTAACTTTTTAAATTCCATTTCCCTCATGGGAGACAGTGTTTGGGTTTCCCCGGGTGGGGTTTTGAGCATTCTACTTGGGACCACAGGCGTCACTGACCTGTGTGGGTTTGCGTTCCCTGTCAACTGCCCCCCCCACCTGATCCACTTTCATCCAGACTGCCCTGTGCGTTACACGCCTGCCCCCGCTAACAGCAGCTCTGCTGGCTTACGCCCTTACCCTCTCCTTTCGGGATCTCTGACGTCATCTTCTCCCCTTATTCTCTCCGTGTCTCCAACAGTGACATTTTACAGTTCTCTTCTTACAGTCGTAAGACACGGCACATCCTGGTCGTCCTTCACTTTGTCCTGCTGCAGCCTGCGCCCGCGGGGACACTATGCCATCCTTCTCCTCCTACCTCAGAGCAGTAAGAAAAGGGTGCAGCCTGCCACGCCAACCAGGGTCTAGGACAGTGTGCTGCCTCCCCGTGCTTGTCACCCCACCCCCTTCACAGCCCCGAGAACCACGTCCCAGTGCTCTCTGAAACCGTGAGACGCACCCTGGGAGGAGAGGCTGCCCACCGGCCGAGTGCCCTGTACCCACGGCACCCTGCACACGCTTGCCTCCCAACAGAACTGCGGAACTCTGGCAACAGAGACAAGTTCCATGGCAATTAGGACACCCGCCGTGCTCAGGCAGGTCAGTCTTGAAGGGGAGTAGAGACCCAGGAGCCTGAGGAGAGGACAGAAATTAGGTCTAGTTCTGTGCCAGGCTTCCTGGATCCACAGTCATGCAGCTGCAGCTTCGGGGGGCCGTGCACCATGGGGCTCAGAACACGTTTACCCAGGTGGGGACAGCATCAGCCCTGAGCTGGTCTCAGCACTGTCACGATGACTTCGCAAGGCAGGCTCCCCCTGGGACAGACACTCTGCCATTCACGGTGGCAAGTGGGCACCTGGAAGGAGGCGTGGCCACCCACAGGGAGTTTCTGCCACACACCGGCCGGAGGGGCTCAGAGAGAGCACACGGCTGGTGAGGCCTGGGCCAGCAGGAACTCTGCTCCTCTGCGGGTGGGGAAGCAGGGCAGGAGCACGGGAAGTCTCTCGTGCCCGTGCACGCACCACACACACGCAGTCCTGCAGAAGCTGCCTGTGGGTGCTTTTACGGCTGTGTCTAGACGTCCCCCCGAAGCCTCGGGAGTCTCAGGGTGGGCTTTTCAGAGGCGGCTGATGCTGGACTGAGGGCGTGTGACTAGTGGTCAGCCCACTCAATGGCCTGGCATAGTGTGGCTAGGGTCAGGGCAGGGGCCGCGCCTGCGCGAGGGTGGGTAGCTGCGCACAACCTAAGGGGCCGAGTCCTGTCTGCCTCACTTGTTGCTTTTGCTGCCTTGCGGTCACCATGAACTGTTCTCTGTGAGGTCCCTCTACCAAGCCGCCCTGCCTTGGAGCAGCCCGCTATGGACGGAACCTCTACACACTGTGAGCCCAAGAAACCTTCCCCCTTTAACTCGGGGTGTCAGGTATTGCACCCCAGCAATGACAGAAAAATAACACAGATATTGGTAAGGACTTGGCTCATAAAACGTCCAATGGAAGAAGTTGGTGCCCACGGCCAGGACCGTGGTAAGCACACTGGTGCTGCACGCCGCGGAGCACTAGCCAGCAGCGGAGGAGAGCCCCACACACGTACACACGGCAAGCCCCGGCTCATGGACGGGGCGACACAGACCTTGCCGTTTTCCAGTACAAAGCACAGGACACAGACAGGAGGTAACAGTGTGCCCGCGGTGTCAAAGTTTCAAGGGGTAGGAGGCAGGGAACTATCCCTTGGAAAGGGTGATCGTGAAAAGACGGCTGAGAAACTTGCTGCAAGAAGCCAGGCAGCGCTCGCTCTGTGGGTCTCCAGGCTGGACCTGTGTAAGAGGGGAGCTCCGAGATGGAGGTCGAGGAGGAGTGGGGCATTCTGTGTCTGCCCTGTGTGCCGGCTTACACTGCATCAGCTCAGAAAACTACACAAAGGTCAGCTTCCCTGGCTGTAGACTATACATCAAAACCAAGCAATGTTTTTTTAAAACTCCCTGGCTGTGTGACCTTGGGCATATTACTTGACCTCTCTGAGCTGCTGTTTGCCACCTCTAACGCGGGCTGATCTTAGCCAACCTGCACCTCCCAAGGTGTTACAGGAGAACACCCCACAAATGCTTCCCTGGTGGTGTTCAGCACAGATGGAAAGCCGGGAGCCTCTCCGGGGCCTGGGGACTCTCCGGGGCACGCAGGCCGTGGCTGCTCAGAGGCCGTCACGGCGGACACACTGGGATCAGACTAGGTCGAGGTGAAGCGTGAAACACGTGAGCCATCGTTCCTTCCAAGGCGGCAGAACAGGTGCCCACAGGACAGCCGCTTCCCAGGGAGGATGGAGACAGGCGCTTTCAAGCCAGAACAAGAGGCTCTGCAAACCATCCAAATGGCTTTTCTTTGCCTATTGCAGGCTGGGTAGAGTCCTATGCAGAGGTCCTGCATGCCCGCTAGAGGTCACACTACAAAGAGACGCTCCAGGGAGACAAAGGGAAGGTGCAGGGCACACAGCGCTTGAGTCGAGTTGGCAGAACACAGAGGAGCCAGGCTGCGTGTGGCAGGTGACCGGCCGTGACCCCACCTCAGCTCCACTCTGCAGTACAAGCTTCAGCCCACGGAGGTTGGACGCATGGCCCCGGGGCACCCCCAGCACTGTCCCCATCAGAGCGCAGTAGATGGAGAAGGAGGCCTGTTCAGACTCACTAGCCTTAGGACAGATCCCAGGAATGAGGCCACCTGCCCAGCTGCAGCAGGATGGGGGCGGGGACGGCAGCACGGGCCCGCCCTGCCTCCCCAAATGCGTCAGTCACCGGACACACTCCCAGGGTGACACAACACAGCCACTCATCCTGCCGTCAGCCTGCTGCTACTCCCAGCTGTGGCCCACGTGTAGTCAGGTGACTTTCCAGTCCCTGGTCATCAGGACAACACGCACATTTCAAAGATCACCCCAGAGCCCCACAGAAAGGCCCAGAACCCTGGAACCTGGAGCTGACCTGATGGTAGAGAGGCAGGCACCACTGCCGAGGGCCGGGAAAAGCCCAGAGACCGTCCTCCATCGGCCCACCGCCTCCCCGGGCAGGAACCACAGGGCCCCAAGATCCCAAGCTGCACCACCAGGGCTCTTCCTCGGAACCTGTAAGACCCAACGTCGTCAGCCATCTGGATTTTTGCTTTTCACTATAGGAGGCTGAGTCCGGAGCCCTCACACTGAGCTACATCCACAGCCCTTCTTTATTTCTTCAGACTTGGTCAGGCTAAGTCACTCAGCTGCCCAGGCTGGGCTCAAAATTTGCAATCCTCCTGTCTCAGCCCCCCAGAGTGCTGGGGTTACAGGTGCGCACTCCCACACCTGGCTTCACGTGCCGTGCTGGAACCTCACCTGTAGCAAGTGGCAGGGTTTGGCTGGGGGCCACTGGTGTTCAGCTGGCATATACAGAATCTGCCCCGTGTAACTGCAGGAAGTGGCAAAGACACACAAGAATGGAAAAAACAAGCTGCGTTCTCCAAGGGACGGCAGCACCCTCGCGGCCAGCAGGGCCGGGCTGTGTAGACGGCCAGACCTCCCCTCCGGACTGCTGGCACTGCCTGGTAGCATCCAGGTCTCGCACACAGTAGGACAGGCCCACACCGCCCCACGGACTCACCAGAGCCTTGGTTATTTTGGAAATTATTAGTAGAAACCATTTAAATGCCCAAACACTAGAAGCAGGCTGCGCAGTTTAGATTTGAGCATTTTTTTTAATCAGAAGTACTTCTCTTCAATGTGCTCTGTACAACGCTGAAGGGATTCCTCCGATGGAGAAAGGTCCCTTAGAGCAAGCCGCAGGCTCTGAGTAGAAAATGCGTTCTCCTGAATTTCTTCCAATAGTGGTGAAACTTACAAAACCATACCCTATGCTCCCAACTGTCCTTGGTCTCCACTGTCCTTGCAGCTTCGTGGTCAGGGTAACCAGCGTTCTTGGGCTGCCTCATCTGGCAAGGAAGTGACAAAGATGTCAGGCTCAACCCTGCAAAACCTGCTAGAAACTGGGGCCAAGCCCTCGAAGCTCGCGGGAGGTCCCTCCAGAAGCACCCCGGAGGGAGAGCCCGGGGTGTCTCTCCTCGCAGGTGATGGACCCTGCTCTGCCCAACAGGGTGCCCGCCTTCTCCACCTGCCTCTCTGCCTCTCCACCCATCTCACAGCGCCTGCCAGGGCGGTGTGCACACAGGGACCCTGGCACCGAGCTGCTCAGCTCTGCCTCTGGGAGTGAACGGAGTTGCCAGTGAACAGAAGTTAGGACCGTGGAACTTTTGTTTAAGGCCAGTTAGGGAGAGATTAATTAGAAAACATTTCACAGGACGTCACCTGTTGATCTCTAGGCAGAGGCATCACGTGACTGCCAGGGGCTCTCTCACCAGCAGGTAAATCCTGAGCGCCCAGAGGAGGGCTCAGAGCAGCCACCAAGGGCCAGCAACCAAAAGGGGGAGGTGCACACCGCAAGTCCACTGAGGGCTGAACAAGCTACAGGGCAGAAAGCGTGACAGACGCCAGGAGGTCGGTCCTTCCAGAGAGCACTGTTGGGAAGATCTTAGCTGGGGGTCTGCAAATGCAGGGTTAACCGCAAGGGCACGATGCCCGAAGACACAGTGGCACTCGAGATCTCCATGCCGCAGGGTCCTCAACAATCCCGGCCTCTGCAGTGCACACAGCCCTGTCTGGAAGGCTGTGCTCTCACCTGCAAACGGCTTCCCAGGGGACCTGTGTGGCCACACTGGAGAGCTACACCTGTGCGCGCTATGCAACGAGAGGAAAGCAGCATCGGGCCCGCCCTGTGCCCCGGAGACTGGCACCCCGTGAATGCCAGGCAGCTGGGTGTGGAGCAGGTGCAGAAGACGGGCAGGTGGGGTGTGTGCACAAAACAGCACGCACCAGGAGCCAGCCCCGAGGGGCAGTCGTGTCAGGAGCCTCGGCTCTGAAGCGCAAGCGTGGCCGTGCAGACAGCTGCCAGGGAGCCGCACTGGTGTCGGGTGTGTGTCTGCAGGGACATCCCTACTGCCTGTACCGCCAGCCTGATCTCACTGACAGGGAAAGGATCAGGGTGAGATGCCTCTGCCCGAACCCTGAGAGAGTCATGGGAGAACTGGGAATTCTATCCAAGGTCTTGACCCCAAGCCTCAGGTTCTGCCGACTCCCAGGAGCTCTGTTCTGTGCACACCGTCCTCTCCACACCTGCCTAGGCGGGACCTTTTCCTCACCACCTCCTGGGCCCTCAGAGCCCATGGGCGCTTCTGTTCCACGAGTCCAGGGGGACAGCTGGAGCAGGGCTCCTCACACATGCTCATTTTACCTGCTCAGGGGAAGATGCCTGGCTATTGCACCATAATCCCCTGCAGGAGGGTCCTGCTTTGCTGGAAGACAGCCAACTCGCCAGGGCCAGCTCCCCGCTTCTGTCCCCACAAGCCCAGAGCCGCCACTCTAGTTCAGATTCACGTTGCTCACTCACTCACTCCTTCCTTCTCTGTTTTACATGCTCAGCTCTTTCCTTCATGGCTACCAACTATGTACAGGAACACGTTACACGCGATACAGAAAGTGTCTCGGGGGCCGGGCCAGGAGCCTGACAAGGCGGTGCGCTCCAGGAAGAAGGCTGCGTTTCCAAGTGCATGCTGCTTCCGTTCGCAGAGGCAGGGCCCGACCCGACCGGGGCACCGGGCGAGCCCGTGGCAGGCATGGCAGTCAGGACGTGAGGGACTGGATGTTCTTGAGCATCTCATCGAAGGCCTGCGGTGATGGCGCGTCTGCATTCCGGAAGGCAGCCTGCACCCGGCTGTACAGGCTGAAGGACTTCAGCTCCAGCCAGATGAACCCGAAGCGGTCCTCGTCGAACAAGACAAAGACGCCCGGGGTACGCTCGGGGCTGGTGAAGCCATGGCCGGCAATGAGGCCTGTGCCATAAAAGCTGGGGAGATAAAGAGGGACAGCATGAGGGGAGGGAGGCCTCGGGCATGGGCAGGTGCCCTCAGGGCATCCCGGAGCACACTTCTTGCCAGGCTGGTCACTACTGTGTGTGCCAGGTGCATGCCAGCAGCGTCCGAAGAGGACCTGTCTCTGCAGGGGTAGCTGGAGGCCTGTTGCCCTTCACTGAAGACCAGCTCGGCCAGCGCCCTGCAGGCAGAGGCCTGGGGATCTGCACCACCTGGGGAGCTCATGGGCCACAGCCCAGGGTTTGCTCAGATCTGGGCCCTTGCTGACCACCATGTTCCCGCCTCCCCCAGCTGCAATAAGAGCCCTGGGCAGGCACACGGGAATGCTGCTCCAGGAACACAGCAGGCCATGGAAACGAAGATCTAAACTTCTGGGATCATTATATCCCCTGTGAACAACACAGACATGTGAGAGATGGCGGCTGCAGCTGACACTTACAGAGACCCACTGACAGCTGAGACCAGGGTTAGTTTAAACTAGAGCTCTGTCCCTCTTGCGAGACCTGCATGGCCCTGACAGAAGAGGGGTCGGGGCTCCCACTGATGCCACAGCTGAGGCTCTGCAAGACAGGGGAGGGGAGCACAGCCCTCTGGTTCAGAGGCTTCTCAGCTGGGGAAGGAGATGCCCCGCCCATGCAGGCCAGGCAGTGGCCACTGGCACAGAGAAAACAGGCCACGGGTATTCCCTGCACAGGTCGCAAAGCAGTGGAGGGGACCGGGCACATCTTTCTCCCAGGCTGGAGAACCACCCTGCACCCCACGAGGGAGGCGCCTGGCAGCCAGGCGGCCACAGCATGCGTGGGACCTGCCAATACTGGCCTTGGGTCCTGTGAGTTGTGAAGTGTTTATAGAAATAGCAAGGCTCTTTGCCTTTGCAGTCACTCAAGTTTTTCAACAGCTGGAATCACACTGGACACTCTTTACAGGCCTCCCTCTGCAGAATCCAAAGTCAGCCCCATCCTCCTTGGTAAAGAAAATGATATTCCCCATAAAGCCCCATCCAGCTGCCTAGATCCTCTCTGAGATCGGCATGGGCACACTGCGCTGTAACACAGGCCTTCCTGGGAAATGCCCCACAAACCACTGCAGGCCTGGGATAGCAGCCACCCAGAGGCAAAAGGAGAGGGACAGATAACAAAGGCAGAGGCCAGGGCCCAGGACTCCAGGAGACGGATGGACGGCCCTGACTGGGCCGCAGTGCCACGGTGCCCACTGTCCCACACAGCAGCCACAGGCGAGCCAGCCAGTCAGCACTGAAACGTGGCCAGCGTAGCACAGGAACTGGGGTTTTCATTCCGCTCCATTTCCACAAACCTTAGCCAGCCCCAGAGTGCAGGGAACCGGGGAACCAGAGCAGGGGAGCAGGGCCCAAGGCAGCAGCTGAGGCCGGAGCACAAGAGCGACGTCGAAGGAGGGCAGCTGGCCTCTGGCAGGTCATCCACCCAGCCCTGAGCCCGCATGGAGGGCAGGGTGCCAGCAAGGAAAGTGAAAACTAGCAGAGTCGGGTGGAGGAGGAGCAGCAAGGGTGGAGGGGACTCACGGGCCACGTCTGGGTGCACCAGCACCAGCAGACGGCGGACACACAGAGAACGGGACAAGCTGCAGACAGAGCTGCCGCGGGAAGGGCCCCGCCCCTCGCTGTCCACCTGCCCAGCTGAGGGTGTTTCAGCTCGTCTGCCTTTACCTGGCTAACTCTGTAGTTGCCTTGGAAGTAACACTGTGCTGTCACATGAGGGATCCGGAGGAGCCACGGCTCCGAGCCAGCTGTGAAGCCCAGGGCCCAGCACAGCCGCTTAGGTGCTAGGGCACTTGCACCGTGCCAATGACGCCCTGTGGCCTCAGGCCCACCCCGCCCTCACGGCCCTCACCACATCCGGCAGGTGCGGGGGTAGTCCTCGTTCCTGGAGCTCACGCCCATGGGCAACACGAATGGCTGCCCCTTGCCAGACTGCGCTGCCTGCTCAGCTGCAGCCGCTCCATCTTCAGGCTTCCTGCTGTCCTCGGCAGGCACCGCCTCTGCCTCCCGGGCCGGCTGTTCCTGGGCCAGGGCGGGGCCCTCGTCAGCCTCCTGCTGCTGCTCCTGTCGCACCTGCTCACCAACCTCCAGGACGATACGTGAGAGCTCGTTGAAGTTGCGGAGATTCTCAACGTCAGGCAGCGGGATGCGGTACCTCAGGTCAATCTCCACAGTCTGCTGCCCAGCGGGGATGTTGGGGTCACCCTGCAGAGCAGGCAGGCAACAGTGAGAGGCCCTCAGACACCCAGAGGCACCGCACAGCCTCCGGGCCAAACGCGCCCGGCCCCATGAGCACACACTGGCGCTGCCTCGGACGCGCAGCGATGCCTGTACAATCAAGTTTCAGGCGCCCTTCCCTTGGTGGCCCCACCTGTGGTCTGTGAAGATAGAATGGCAGTGCCGATGAGCAACACCAACAGCGACCAGGCAGCCTGCTGGGCTCTGGGTGCCACGCATGTTCACACCTGTGCTCACCTGTGCTCAAACCCTCGGGTGGGAACCAGGGACTTGCCAGGGTCTGGCAGCAGGGCAGCCGGCAGCTGGCCCACAGCCAGCCCAGACTTGTGTGCCTGGCAAGTGCAGCTCCCGAGCAGCCCTGCCACAGGGACACCCAGCCCTGCAGCTTCATGGGGAGAAGTAGCCAAAACCTGGACCGGGAAACACCATACCAGGCCCAGCCCCGGCTCCAGCCACGTCCCACTAGGACGGTCAGCTGCCCAAGCGGCACAGAGCCCCACCACGCCTGCATGCATCACCTAGGCAGAGTGGGAACCTCTCAGGGGCCAGCAGGAGCCCGTATTCAAGGCGCTCGCGAGGAGGAGCTTGGGTGGGGGCCGCCTACGCATCCACACTGAGCTCAGGCCTTGCTGGGCGGCCGGACTGAGCTCAGCCTGCAGCCAGTGCACACGCAAACCCAGAACCCTACGATCGACGGTTCCCACCACCAGGGCTGGAGGGGCCTAACCACTGCATTTTCAAGCCCCCCGGCAGAGCTGCAGGCTGTAGTGACCCGCAAGGCTGACTCCGGGGACTGTACAGTGAGACAGGGCCCGCACAGCGGCGCCCAGCGGCCACACAGAAGCACTCACCGTGATCTTGGTGCCCCGGGCGCGGTGGCCGTGAAAGCTAAGCATCACGATCTCCAGGCCGTGGCTGCCGTAGGTGCCCTTGAAGAGGCCGGGCTTGATGAGGTCGCCAGGGCGGCTGGGCGGGAGGTAGATCCGGCGGTAGGTCAGGCAGTTGCTGTGGGAACAGGCAGACGGATATGGGGTTCCACTCAGCCAAGGAGGCATCCACAGTCCTGGGGTGCAGGCCTGGCCACCGGGCCCTCAGCCCCTAGCACGGCACCCCCAGGGCTTAAGGAGGCCTCGGAGAGGGGAGGGGATGACACCCCACTGGCCGAGGCCCCACAGAGAGGAGCCCATGCACGGCGAAGGGCTTGATGGGACAGGTCGAACTCACTCGTACTGACTGGTGTAGATGAATTTCATCAGGATGAGCTCCTGCATGTGCTCGTGGAAGATGTCCTCCAGCGTGCGGCCCCACTCCTCCCGCAGCCACGTCCGGAACTCCTGCCGAGAGGGCACATGGTCACCAGGACAGGAGCAGGAGGTGGCTGCTGCCAGACACCACGTGCCCGTCCATCAGTGGGCACAGTTGTGCCTAAGGGGCCTGCTGCAGGGAGGCGCACCCGCTGGGAAGCCAACGGCCAGGCCACCCCTTCCCAGGCGTGCAGGTGCACATTCCCAGGAGGCCCCTGGCCAGGCTGGGCAGCAGTCATGGGTGTTACATCCATGCCCACTGAGGATAGGAGGTGGCTACAGGGACCCAGCACCACACCGCACAGCTCGAGCCCGGCGCTCAGGCTCCAGGGAGGGCGTGGGCACAGTGGGACCCTTGTGGGTAAGCCCTGTCTGCAAGCCTGCCATGGCCACGACCTGGAGCTGCCAGGAGCAGTGCAGCCTCACATGGCCCAAGAGGCTGGCACAGTCTCCTTGCCCAGGGCCTCCAGGGCCACGGCCCATGCTCGGTCAGATCGCACACTTGCGCAGTGGGAGCGAGGGCTTAGATGCTCGGGAACTCTCGCGTGCGCTGCAGTCACACGGCACTCAGTGTGCCCAGCGTCTGATGACGTGACGGCACGATTAACGTGTCTTTCCAAACCTCTGCGTGCCTGACCCGGTGTGGTGGCTCTGACTCCCTGGCATGAGCAGCTCACAAAGAAAAAGAAGCAAACCACACTGTCAGCTGTCTGAAAGTGTTGCTGCCCCACGCCAGGAGAGCAGGAGCCACTACGGGCTGAACCACCGAGAGCCACAAGGTCAGCGGACGGAACCAGCTTGGTTTTCATGCACTGCCAGCCACACTGGGGGAATGAAATGTTTAAAAATTCCTTTACACATCCCAAAAGCTTGAGACAGGAATGAACATTACCAAGTGCAAGGAAAGTAAGACTTCCGCTCTGAAAGTCACAGGGCAGTGCTGGAGGCACACAGGCGGCCTCGGGGCAGTCAGGCGTGGGAACAAAGGGCAGGGCCCAGCTGGGCCAGAACTCGGGGCCTGTGGCCCGCTAAACATATGGCACGAGTTCTTCCTATTCTGCACTCTCCCAAAAGAGGGTGCCTCCACATCACAGAAGCAGCAGCAGGCGTTGGTCAGCTTTCCGTCACCGGGACAAAGGACCAGGCACACACGACTGAGGAGAGGGATCTGGCTCACAGTTTCAAAGGCTTTGGTCCATGGTCAGCTGAATGCAAACAGGAATACCAGGGAGGAAGGGTGTGGACGAGGATAGCTACACCCCTCACGACACGCAGGAAGCAGACAACAGGAAGAGCCAGGGAGCAGGGCCAGATCCAGGTGTGCCCAAGGTTGCGTCCTCAGATCCCCACACACACGCCCAGCAGTGTGCTTTGCTAATCCCCACGCATCTCTTACGCCAGTCCAATTGGCAGTCAGTGTACTGGTCACCCCACTGCTGTCTTGCAGTCATCCTGGCAGCCAGCGTGGTGAGCAGCAGACGGACAGCGGTCAGCCCTGATGACCCGGCTGGGTTAAGCCGGGGGCCCAAGCTCTCCCCCGGGGAAAGGGAAGTCTCCACCCAGCGACACTCAGCCAACTGGACACCACGTGGAGACGAGGACACCGTGACCCCTGCCTCTCACCACACAGCGCGTGGCTGCACCCACACGACCAGACAGAAAGCAGCCTCAGGGAGGCTGCCGGCCCTCTGCTTCGAGGGGGAGACCACCTTTGGGAACTGGGGGCGAAGTCTTTCACAACACAGAAAACCACCACAAAGGCAAAGAATGTAACAAATCAGACCATCAAAATTAAACCTTCCATTACAGAGACTGAACCTAGGCGGGGAGAGTCTAAAACTCAAACATGAAAATTAACGGACTGAGCGAAGACTCTGAGGCCACCCGGAGCTGCCTGCAGGTGAGTGCCAACCGGGGTGCCCTATGCACAGTGAAAACCTCACTTGCCTGGCATGAAAGGTCAAAGTCACCAGGAATACCAGCCATACCCAACCATGACTCAGAACAGAGGTCTCTGAAGTCCTCCACTACAAATCCTCTCATAGGAGGAAGCATATATTCAAAAGGAACACCAAAGGCCAGGCATGGCGATGCATGCCTGTGATCCCAGCACTTCAGAGGCTAAGGCAGGAGGGTTACTTTGAGTTTGAGGCCAGCCTAGGATACATACTGAGACCCTGTCTCTAAAAGGGGCGGGGCCAGGCATAGTGGCACATACCTGTAATCCCAGCACTCAGGAGGCAGAGGCAGGAGGATTGCTGTGAGTTCAAGACCAGCCTGGGCTACGAAGTGAGCTCAAGGTCAACTTGAACTGCACAGTGAGACCCTGCCTCAAAAAGACAATAAATAAATAAATGATAGAAGGGGGAAGGGGGCATCTAGAGCCTGGACACGTAGACCAGAATGACTTTATCCACTACTGGGGACGAAACCCAGACCCTCGCAGTGAGCAACATCCCCAGCCCTTGTTTCATCTGTTTTGAGACAGGGTCTTGCTAAGTTGCTAAATTCCCCAGGCTGGAATCCAATTTGTGACCTTCCTGCCTCAGCGCCCCCTAGTGCTGGGATGACACGTGTGCCGCTTTGGCAGGGGTACCTCACATCTGGCAGGGCTGCCCTCCACGCAAGCACTTGGTGACCCTCACCTCATCTCATTTCATCTTCCCAGTGCCCTGGGAGATGGTGAGCGTGAGGGGGGTGCCTGGCGCTGCTCAGGAAACACCGCAGCGTACCCTATCCTTCCATCTCCACCTCAGGGTCAGGGTTAGACAACCCCAAGCCTCACGCACTCACAGGCAGGGTCTTTGCAAGGTGACTGGACCATGGGGTGCTGGAACTGACTTCCCCTCAAGAGAAGAGTTCCGGTCAGAAGAGGTGGTCCCCAAGGGTGTGACCCGGAAGTGTTTATCTCCCCGGCTCCTCCCTTGGCCCTCCGCTTCCTATCCACCATGCCAGCACCTTCCTCCGCCACGCCTGCTGCCATGCCACCCTGCCTTGCAGCCAACTGACGATGGACTGAAATCACTACAGGCTGACAGGCAAAGTGAACCCCTCTTGCTTTCAGCTGTGGGTGTTGGGTATCTGTCTCAGGGAGAAAAGGAACTAAGACCCCATCTCTGCTCTTCCTGGCAGGCACCAGACCTCCAAAGGCTTCAGTCTGCACAAGGGGCTGGTCAGGAAGGGCCAGGGGAGGAAGATGACGGCTCAGCCTTCCAGGGCACCTATGAAGAAAACCCAGGCAGCATGTGCACCAGGGCTCTGGGGTGGGCCTGGGGTCAGCACTTCTCACAAGGAAACGCAGGGCAGGAAACGCAGGACACTATTCTCGGCCTCACTCGTAACAGGAGAAACATCAATAATCTCAACCAACTGACAAACTCAGCAAAGCACTTGCTTCCACTACAGCTTTTAGGTGTTCCTGGTTTCTACCAGGAGCGCGTGGTGCTACATGTCACCAGGGAAAATACTTCACCTCAAAACCAGCGAGCCCACGTGGAAGAGCCGCCACACGGGAAGTTTTTGTTTTGTTTAACAGTACTGGGGATTGCACCTAGGGCCTTCACACCATGCTCTAATCCCCTGGCCTTTTCATTTTTTGAGTTGAGACCTCTCACAAAGTTGCCTGGGCTGGGCTCCAATTCGTGAAACTTCTGCCTCAGGCTCCCAAGTAGCCAGGATTACTGGCCTTTACCACCATGCCTGGTTTACAAGAACCTTTTCCCACCCCAAAGTCAGCATTACCAGAAATACAAAATACTTTAAAGTCTCAACAACTGAGGAATTTCTTGTTTACACTTTTCATTTAAATGTGAACTACCACAATTACATATATGCTATTATACACAGCTATATAAAATTACAATTACACTTACAAGGTTTCCATGAAAAACCATCTCTGCTGTTTTCCTTCTTCACCTGCCACCTACTCGGGAAAACTGGGGCATCATTTACCTTCAAAGGCCTCCAAGAAGCACATGAACCGTTCACCTCAGCCCCCCGAGTTCTCTGGCTTTAGAACCACCAGCAACTGGTTTAAGAAATGTGGGAAACGGAAGCTAGCAGGAGCACCCTGTGCCTGCCAAGTCCAGGTTCCTCCTGGAGCGGCTGAGACAGCAGTAAGCCTTGCACCCTCCAAACTCTCCAGAGTGAGAGCAGCGTGGAGTCACTTCCCCGACAGGAACCGGGCACCCAGGCTTCCACCGCACAGCCACGGTCTAGAAAGCTGGACCGCGAGGTCTGCCCAGGAGGGGAGAACACAGGACCCTGCACACAGCCTTAGGGGCCTCCCTGCACCTCACCCTGGGAGCAGCCAGGGCTGTCCCTGGGGATGGGTGCGCCCCCCAGGCAGAGCACAGCGGGGTAACAGAGTGCTTCCAGATGCCTCGTGCAGCTCGCTCTGAGGGGCCCCGGGTGCGCACCCACAGACACTGTCTCCACAAGTCTGTGGGGCTGTTTTCTGAGGGCAGGAGCTGAGCCATGTGACTGGAGCGGAGCTGCTCACACAGCAGCAATCAGAAACCAGGCGGCGTCACAGGTCTACTGTCCACCTGCCAGAGGCCGCCCCAGCGCTCTGTGGAACAACCACCACCCACAGGCCGCGCCCCGGGGCGGGCTCACCTCCTGCCGCCCGCCCGCCATCCGGTGGTGGTCCGTCTGGTTGCACTTGGTGGAGAACTCGTCCTTCTTCACTACCTGCGTGCCACGGTGGGGGGAAAGGCACAGGGGGAGCAGCAGGTTAGGCACCGCCCATCCGTACCCTCACACACCCAAGACGGCTCCACCAGGCTGTCCGAGGAGGCGCTCAGAACCGGCCGGCAGGCCTCGCCAGTCTGTACAGAGTGGGCCTGCAGCGGAGAATGCCCCAGCACACTCGGCTAGCCCCTGCCCAGGACGGCAGGGGACTGTGGTGACCAGAAGGAGCCACCCCTCGCCCGCATACCCTGCGGTGTCTCAGGGAAACGCACCTGGATGTGGCCATTGTGGGGCCCCTTGTGGCCGTACATACACTCCACTGTGGCCGACTTCCGCTCCATCAGGTGGATTCGAAACAAAGGCTTGAATCGCATGGGGTCATCCACGTGAGGGTCGTGGGGCGGCAGGTACATCCAACCGATGATGAACAGGCCGTCCACCTGCAGGGAGACAGGTAAAAGCCACGCATCACCTTCCACCTCCCTCGGCTCACTGACGCCAATCTGGAGCCACAGCTGACAGCATCCCGAGCCCAGGTCCTGGGGGTATGAGCACGAAGGCTGGTGGCCTAGGGGACCCAGGTGTGAGGACCCAGAGCCACCCCGCCCTCCCAAAGCCCGGGGACACAGGGCAAAGTCTGCAGAGGAACATACAAATAAAGCCTGGCCACTGAAGTCACATGACGGGAAGTTCTGAATTCTCCCCGCTGTCACGTAGGAACTGGGGGGTTGTGCCCTGCAGAAAAGGCACCGCAGTTCCTGCCCCACACAGGTCTCCCCAACTCACCACCACGTTCAGGAGCCCTCCGTACGGCCCGATGTCTGGCTGCCACAATCCCAGAATATGTCGGTATCGATGAAGCACTGTGAGGAGAGGGGATGGGCATCCACTCAGACCCACAGGGAGGGAAGGAGCCCAGAGGAGGGCGGTGTCCACCCACCCCCAAGCCCTAAGCCCAGGAGTGCTGCAGGGAAGGATGGGGACGGAGATGACGGTCATGTCCCGCAGAGTCACGGTGCAGTAGGCACTGGTCACCCCACCCACAAAGTCCGCATGCATACTGAGCGATGACGCAGGGGCACAGCCCCAGGGCACAGCCGCTCGCAAGAAGCCTGCCTGCCCGCTGCAGAGCTGGGGTCTCTGCGGACTGCGGGAGCCACGCCTGGTTTCTGCACACTGACTGCAGCAGAGGGCAAGAAGGGCGGTCCACTCGGCAGGCCAGGAAGGGCATGGGGAAAGGCAGAGCCAGAAGGTCACTGCCTTGTCTGGGGGAAGGGAAGGGAAGGAATCCAACCTTTGGGGGTGCACACAGCTCAGGGACACAGCCTACCACCCCAGGCCCAGCCCAGCACTGTCACTCAGGAGGGTTCAGAAGGACGCAGGATGCCAGCCATCCAACCCATGCAGGGTCCCCTTATCGGATCCTCATTCCCCACAGCCACACACCCGTGGGTTCACTGCTGTTAACACGCAGGGTCCCACGCCATGAATACACGCTGAACCCCAGACAACGCGATGCTCGCAGAAGCGGCCAGCGTGAAACACCCTGACGATGTCTGTGACTTGTGACACAATGTGAGTCAGCAGAGGGATGATGAAGGATGGGCGGGATGGATGGACAGACGGACAGCCACATGACGAAAAGCATGGCAGAGTGCTTACAGCAGAACGCAAGGGGTAATGGGTGTGCACAGTGTAATTCTTTCATAAAGCACTGGAAAAACCACACGAGACAGCATGACTCTCCTCCCTCTCCGTGCCCCTCAACTTCACTGCCAGCAACGTCTGGTTCTTTGCAAAACTCATCATGATGTCAGAGTCTCTAGAAAGCCCGTGAAAAGGACACACCAATCACCTGTGCTAATTCCAAAACCAGAGTCCCTGTCTTCCTGAAAAGCAGCATTAAAAATAAAAACACAGCCTCAAACAGAACCCGCAAGCCACCTGGCTGCCAGGCCAATGGGAGCCCCACACAGGCGTTAAGAATCAGGAAGCCTTGTGCCTGAGGCTGGCTAGCCCACCACCTGGGAAGCCCCTGCCAGCGTGGTGTGCCATGGCCAAGAGCACACTGACCAGGAGGGACACGGCTTCCTGACAGGCATGGTGTGAAGCCTGCTTTAAAAAGTTCAGTCAAACCAGAAAGAATCCCTCAAAAACCAAGGCTGTCCCACAAGCAAACACAGTGGTTCAAAGACACGAGGCCAGGCATCTGGCTGGAACTCGCTGCCGCTGCAGTGGACAAGCGCACCAGGTGTGAAGTGCGGCTGCACTGGCCACTTCTGTGAGCACCCCCCACTGGGCACAGGGACGACGCTCGCCACGCCCGTGTCAGGGTCCAGAGCGGTGAGGGCACCGGCCGCTCACTCCCCAGAGAGCAGCCCTCCCACCAGCACCTGTCAATGGGAAACGGAAGAAGAGTTTGCTGTTAAGGACATAAAAAGAGAACTGTAACGTTTTGTTGCCGTTTACAGTTGAAAATGGCAGTTAAAGAAACTGCATCTCAGCATTATTTTTTAAAAATGCGCGTCACATAAACTGATGACCACATGCTATGATGAGGAAAATGTCTTTCACAGGTGAATTTTAACTCCATCTGACGGTGCATTCAATTACAAATAATCCATGAGCAGGAAGCCCATCCCCGTCACATCCAACTGACGTAACAAGCAGCAGAGTACTCGACTTGGGGAGGAGCAGGCTGGGAAGAAACCAGCCTGCGAGCTGAGGAGCGGACTGCCCTCGCCACACGCCTATGGGGGACACTTGTCCTGCCTCAGGACCCAACTGGTGCTGCACTCCAAGGCAGCAACAAGAAGTCCCAACAGCTGGCCTGCAGCCACCGAGGTCACCACCAGATCTGTGTGCCTTCCCCTCTGGGGCACACCCAGCCCCGAGACAGAGCCACCCTCCGAACCAGCCGGGGACCCCCAACCTGGAGCCAGCAGGCACCTGTCCCAGGTCCACCACTCGCTCTGTCTGCAACACTCACCGAGAGAGCCGGCGTGACCCTCCAGCACACTGGCAAAAGCAGTTGGCTGGGCAGAATCCAGTTTACGTGCTGAAGACGGTCAATAACCGAAGCATCGCCCAAGGGTGGCCCCCACTTCACTCAAGCAAAACTGCAGTGGATGGAGGCTCCATGTGTGTGCTGCCTGCCGGGGCCCTGCTCACCACAGGCGGGGCTGGCGGCTCTCGAGGCAGTGTGGAGCATGGCTACGGGACGCGTGGAGACCTAGTGCTCGGTCATCCACCGAGGGATTTCAAGTTTGAAACGCTCTTGCAGTCGCCGTCCACACACACAAGGTGGCTGTCACAAGCACAGCCTGCTTCTCTGTAAAGCTCTCACACCCCACCGGTGCCATCACCAGGAAAACCAACCACTGACACAAGCCACAGGAGAAATCCACGCAGCACCCAGAACAGCTGACCGGGGTCCCGGCGCTGCCCCAGAGGTCACCCCAGCTTGCACGGCGCCAGCCTGCTTCCCCTGACCACGCTCCACATCGAGTCTTTGGCTGCGGCTGTTCTGTCCTTTCTCACGTGAACATGAGCCTGGAGACTAGGAGGCCCACAGCCAGTCCTGGCTGGCTGTGTCCGGGGAAGCAGAACCCACTGGGGATTCTCCTGAGATTTTCTCAACCTCCCAAGTGTCCTGCAGTGCGTTTTTAAAACTGCACCAAAGCCTTGGGAGCCGCAAGGTCTCCAGTCCCACCAGGCTGCAGCAGGTGCAGTGACCCGCAGTGTGGGCGGACTTGCACACAGGCGCCTCCTCCTGTGCTTCATTAAGACCCAGCCACCCCTCTCCCTTGTTCCTGCAGACAAGAATGCACCCTGCACAACTCAGGGACTTCTACGTTTCAGTGGCCAGGACTCCCTGACGATGCGCTAAAATTCCACTGCAGCTCCACACCATCACCCCTGGGGCGGCTGTTGTCCCAGAAGAACTGAGGGGCGGAGATGGGCACCACTGCCCATCCATCCAGAGGCAGGGATGGCACACAGAAGGCTCCTGCTGCTTGTCCACCTGGGCCTCACGGCCTGGCCGTTCCCAGTGGCACAGCGGGATCCCCCGTTCCCGTCAGTTCTCATCATGCCAGACGTGCTCCCCCACAGGGCTCGGGGAGGCACTGAGCAGGAAGGGCCTGGCGGGCCAGGAGAGGACATTCTGGAGAGGCCGTCTCCTCCCAGGTGTGGAGAGCAGCACTCAACCTCCAAACTGCCCACACCCTGCCAGACTTGCTACCTTCCTGCCTCAGCCTCACAAGGAGCTGGGATTACAGGTGTGTGCCACCATGCCCAGCTAGAAACTGGGCACGTCCAAAGCTCACCAGGGCATCTGCTCAAGCAGCATGGCTGGACTGTGGGCACCGGGTGGGCTGGGTCGAGCAGGAGGGCTCCAGTGCTCCTGGAAACTGAATTTGGCTCTTAGTGCGAGCTGGGCGTTGTCCGTGTCTTTCTTGACAACCGAGATCCACTCTCTCCACCTCACCACTGAGCTAACAAAAACTGGGAAGGGCCTTAATTTGCTGTAACTCCAGCTCAGTCAGAAGAGGGTTCCATCCTACAGGGTCCCCTGTAGCTGCCTGTGTTTGGCTGTGTGTGCACATGATTTCTCTTAAACTCGCATGTGCTCCTCAGACAGGACCAAGAAGCTGAGAAGCTTGCCTTCTGCCCTCTGCTCTCCGGCCTGCCTGACCTTTGGCAGGAACACCCTTCATATTTTTTTTTGTCTTTTTGAGACAGGGTCTCACTATGCAGTTCAGGCTGGCCTTGAGCTCACTTTGTAGCCCAGGCTGGTCTTGAACTCACAACGATCTTCCTACCTCAGCCTCCCGAGCGCTGGGATTACAGGTGTGCGCCACCACGCCTGGCCTAGGAACACCCTTCACGAACACCCTTCATTGCCAGAATGACCTCCACCAGCGCTGCCAAGACCCCAGAGCTGCTGTGGGAACTGGAAACAGCTGCCCGGGTTGCCCTCAGAGTGGTCATTGTCACCGCACACCATGAGCCACGCTGCAGCACAGGAAGGGCGGTGGAAGCTCCAAGCTAGCCATCGGGCGGAAGCGGTCAGTGTGTGAGGCCCAGGCCCCCCATGCACCGCAGCCGTGCTACCCGTAGCCGAAGCAGCGGGGTACGTACGGCAGGTGTACACGTCCCTGTACTCCATGTGCTCGTAGTCAGGAAGGATTCTCATGAAGCGCCCGGACTTCACGCGCGGATTTATACCTGAACAGACACAGCGGGTAAGGGCTGAGGGCGGCGCCTCCTCCTCACTGTGACGTGCACCGCGGGACACCACCCCCTCCTGGCCACGCAAACCCCCGCAATGTGCGCCCAAACCAGCAGAGCTGCCTGGCAGAACACACAAGACGGGAGGGCTCCCCCGGAAACTCTTGACAGCCTGCAAGCTCAGGAGACCTCTCCGGGCTGCTGCACTCCCCCAGGGGCCTGTGAGCACCCTCAGGTGCCGGGCTGAGGCTCACTGGGCCCTCAGGTAGAGCAGGGGGTAGGGGGCCCTGCGGCAGCCTAGGGCAACCCTGCCCCACTCGGACCTCCCGCCAGAGCAGCCCAGGGCTCCTGAGTCAGGACCATTCCCAGCCTCCTAGCTCCAGTCAGGCCTGGCACTGCAGCAGGCCAGGCCACTGGGCCCCTACACAGCAGCAAAGGCTGGTCATCTCCATCGGCCTATCTGTCCTCACAGCTCAGAGTTTTCTCCTAGAGAAGGGTTTCAGAGCAAACGCCCAGGCACAGAGTTCCTACAAGATACAGGTGAAACCCAACGTGCTGGGCCAGGAACAGAACGCAGGAATCACTGCATTACGCAGGTCCTGAAGGCCTGGGCGGAGCAGAAAGAGGAAGTCCCTGCTGGCCTCCCTTGCCCGTCAGCGCTGCTCGGCCTGGGGCCACAGGTGTCCCGGCCATCCCCACACCGCTACCCCAGGAAGGCAGGAGCGCCCAGCTGTGCCCTGCCGGATGTGACCGCAGTGCTTAGAACTCAGACCTGTCCCGCAGTGCTCCGCTGTGACGTGGGGCAGACGCCTAACAACCCTGACAGCAGCCAGGAGGAGGAGCCTGCTGACCTCCCAGAGGGAGGACCAGACGGGGCCGGCGGTGAGGGGCCAAATGGGAAGGCAGGCGGGGCAGAGGGGGCCTGAGCATGTGAATGCCGGGGTGACTTGGGGAACAAGCAGCAGGGGGCTTGGGGGCTCAGCCTGCTTAAAGAAAACACGAAGGACAACAGAGCTACAGGAGGAAGTGAGGCACTGCAGGGCGGCCTGAGGGCTGAGGGAGTCCTCGGGAGCTGCCGGGCTCTGGGTTTCTCTTGGCTGGCTGTCCGCAGGGAAACGCGGCTCTGGAATCGCCAGCGTGGGCTCCCACACAGCCCCGGAGGCTGAGACCTACGGGTCCTTGAAGGTGGGGGCAGGCTGCAGCTGGAGCATGAATGACCCCCAACGTGCTGAGAGTTCACTGCATGTTCCAAAACAGTGGAGAGGGTTTTCAACACTCCCAGATGCTAGAGGTGACAGACACGCTAACTACCCTCATCTGATCGACACGCTGCACGTATGTGCTGAAATGTCACAATGTTCCCCGTGAATATGCACAGTTACTATGAGTCAGTTAAAAACAAAATGCAAACTGGGTATGATGGCCCATGCCTGCAGTCCAGCACTTGGGAGGCTGAGGCAGGAAGATTCCTGAGAGTTCAAGGGCAGCATGAACTGCATAGCAAGACCCTGTCTCAAAAAAAACACAAAACAAAACACAAAATGTAAGGGCTGGAGGTGTAGACCAGGGGTCAGTGCTTGTCTAGCATGCACAAGGCCCTAGGCCGGGTCCCCAGCACCCACAAAAACTAAAGATAAAATAAATACTAAAATTCTTCATGCCATACAAAAGAATGCCTTTAACCGAGATGGACTGAAAAATGAGGTTGATGACCAGCCCGGGAGAAGGCAGAGCCGCACCCCACTCCGTGCTGCAGCCCCCGCACTGCGCGTGGAACACAGCTGGGGCTGTAACTGGCGTCCAAGCAAACACCACAGCACCCCATCATCAGCCCATAATGCACCGGAGGCTCGGCTCTCACGACAAAGCCAGCAAGGATGGCAACGAGATGAACTCACGCTTGGCATAGACGTCCCGGCAGGACACACCCGTGATCTCCAGCTTCCTCAAGTTCTCACAGACGCCGTACTCTGCAACAGAGACACGTGTGCAAGGTTAGACATCATAAAAGGCGGGACAGACAGACCTGTGGTGCGGGAAGGGGGACAGGCGGCGTGGGCAGAAGCCTCGGCCGGGTGGCAGGTCTGGTCCCGGCTTCCCCTGCAGCTTCGCTCTTAGCCACCAGCGCAGCCACTTTTCTATCCTCACCAGTTCCGCCCTGAGTGAGGCGATGACCCACACGGCCTCAGTCTCCCACACAAACAGAACCCAGCAGTCTGGTCCCAGGTTAAGAAGGGGGGCAGAAGTCCAGCTGTTTGCACAGGATGCCTGGTTCCTACGGAAACCAGGGGTCCGGGGTCTGGGGTCCGGGGTCCAGGTGGCCCTGGGGCCAAATCAGCCCCAGTGCGTCTCAGCACTGCCGGCTCTGCACCACTCAGCCACAAAGCTGGGAAGGGTCCGTGGCAGGACAGCACAGCCTGCTTCAGCCTCGGTGGCTCCTTCACCACTGCTCCACCCCAACCACATCCATAGGTCCCACCAACCCAAGACTCAGCTCGCTCAGGTCTCACCTGGGCAAGGGACGAAGAGCCCGAACCGTCCCAACCCACAGTGCACATGTCGGCCACCATACGGCCACCGCCAGCACCAACACCAGCGCTCCCTGTGCAGGGCCTGCCGCACCTCACGCTGCCGCCAGCCAGAAGACGCCAGCCTCACGTGCAGAAGCAGGAGCTGAGCGCGGCGGTGTGATCTCCCACAGAAGGCCGCAAGGGGCAGCTGGCCAAGGACCCAAACCTGAGGCCGGTCACAATGCGCCCTCAGCGGTGAGCACATGGAGTGACAGGGGCAGTGGGGTCCTGGGCTCCGAGGTGCCCTCCCCGGACCACCCCAAGGGCAGCACCAGGCCAGCAAATCCTGACAGTGACCCTTAAGGCAAAGAGGGAAACCGAGGCCCCACAAGGCCAGTGATCTGCGCTCCCTCCTCGGGCGCCGGCAGTATGGCCACGGTGCAGCCTGGTGACAGAACTCCAAGCGCTAGCCCTCGCGTGTCGCTTCTGGAAGTACCCCCAGAGGCCTTGCCTGGGCAGAGGCCACCAGCCCTGACGCTCTGGGCACCGGAGGATCCCGGCAGAACCCACAGCTAGTCCCAGCTGCAGACAGGCAGAGGCTGGAGACAAGGAGCTGATCCTGAACAAAACTCCTGGGGGCCCTCGGCATCCTGCGTCTCCCGCACGCTCCTGCCCTCCTATAGACACCAGTCCCAAGGGCCGCATCCCGGCCAGCAAGGCGGGTCCTTGACCACAGAGCTCGATGAGGGTGGCCCAGGGTGGCAGCACACTTGAGCCCACTTGGCAGACACTGGCGTATGAAGACAGAGACCTGGGTGCACAGAGGGCATCATGAAGACTGGGCACAGCCCCATCCAGTGGCCGAGCCTGCGTCTAGACCAGAGCTGTCCACAAAAATAACGTGTGCCTCAGGTGTAACTCGGATGTCCCAGGGGCCACACCGTACCCAGCAAACCCAGACAGGTAGGGCGAGGCAGAGGCTCAGCAGCAGAGTGCTGGCCTCGCACGGGCAAGGCCCTGGGCTCCAGCCCAGCACCACAAGAAGAAAACAGCCAGGCGCGGTGGCACACACCTGTAATCCCAGCACTCGGGAGGCTGAGGCGGAAGCCTGCACATTCAAGGCCAGCCTGCGCTACGTGGTGGGGCCACCTGCACTGAGTAGCTTTGCTCTGAAGCCCAAATCCTAGAAATCTAGTGTGCCCCACACACGCCGGGGGGCCAGCCACATCACAGGGCCAACACCACACACGGTGATGGCTGTGGACGGCCCCCACGCCTGCTGCTGCTCCGTGTCACAAAGAGCTCCCAACCACTGCACAGCAGCATCCTGAACTGGAACAAGTGACCTGAGTCCGTTCTTCCCACGCCTGAGTGAAAAGGATTGTCGGCAGGCCACCTGCCGGGGCAGGAGCAGGGCACACAGCCCATAGAAGCGTCCTCCAAACCTGAGCAAGAACCGCGTGGCACTGGGCCCTGCCCGCCCCGTCAGGGTCACGGTCACAGAGCCCTGTCCCTGCACCGTCACCCCTGCAGAGCTCTGCAGAATGAACCGTTCTTTCGTTTTATGTTTTCCATCAATTGTTTTACACACACACACACACACACACACACACACACACGTTCTGAAAGTCCTCTTGAGTCCTTGCTGCACTGTCCTGGCTGCCTCAATGTCCTGAATCCTCTCCTCACACAGCCCCGTCACGGCCACTCTGGCTTTGGGAAGAACCGGAATCTCGGGCGCAGGACCTGGGAGCCGGTTTCACGAGCCTTCCGCTGCGCGGCACTTGGCAGCAGCATTCCCTGAATTTCTGATCACACTCTGTAAGACCCAGAGGACTTCCACAGCTGCTTCAGAGAGGCAGAATAATGGCTGAGCGTGTCCAAAGCCAGGGGGAGGGGTGTGAGGGAGATCAGTGGCAATGTGTCTGCACTGCAGTGCACTCTTTAAAATTTTTAAACATTCACTGTATTTTTCAGTCATGCCGTGTGTACTTATGTGTGTTTGTGGTTTTACTTTATTTTCCTTTGTAGTTCTGAGGACTGAACTCCGGGGCCTTCACACTGAGCTACAAGCCCAGTCCTTTTCATTTTTAGACAGGGTCTCACTAAGCTATTAAGTTTCCCAAGCTGGGCTTGAACTTGCAATTTTCCTGCATAGACAGCTGAGTGCCGCGGTAACAGTCAAAATACGTTGTTATTAATTACACGTGCATTATGCCTGTAATCCCAGCATTCAGGAGGCTGAGGCAGGAGGACTACTGTGAGTTTGAGATCACTCTGGGCTACACAGTTAGCTCAAGGCCAGCCTGCACTGCGTAGCAAGACCCTGTCTCAAAAAGACAAAAAAGAAACTACACACTGCATTTAGATTTGTTTTCCCTTTGTCTTAGTCCATTTCCTGCTGCTAATTACACAGTATCACAGCCTGGACAAGTTATAAAGAAGCGAGGCTTGCTCTGGCTCGTGGTTCTGATCCAGGGTTTTGGGGCCCCTTGGTGATGGCGCCTCTGCTGGCAGAGTTTGAGGAGCTGCAGGGCATCGCTGGCACCAGACCCAGGCAGGCCACCTCCACAGCGGCCCACTGGAGACGACCCCGAGCCCACTCACTCAGGCAGGAGGCCGAGCCCTGACGGCTCTCGAGGCGCCACTGCTCACACCTCGGGGTAACACAAAATGTCAGTGTGCCTTTCAGGGAGACAAGCCACATTCAACCCCTTCTGTCCCAGGACCCCGCCGGGAGCTCTCAGTACTCTGCCCCCTTGTCTCCTTGGGCTGCTCTGGGCTGAGACAGCAGCTCCAACTCCCCTGGTCGTCAGGGATCATGGCAGTGCCTAGGGTGCCCCTCAGGCTCTTTGGTGTCCTCACCTGCCTACTCCCAAGGAGTCAGGCTGGGTCATGGTGAAGAAGACCCAGGGAAGCCGCAGTGTAGAGCCCTGTGGCAACAGGCGGTCCTGCCAAGCTTGGGCCTGGGCCAGGGGGTCAGGGCCAGGGACCAGGGCCAGGGCCAGGGATCAGCATCAGTGTCAGGCTCCACAGCCTGGCCAGGCATTGTTCTGAGTCCTCACTGCATCCCCCTGCAGAGGCAGAAGACCTAGAAACCTGGTTTGCATTGGCAGTTTTATCCCACATGGCCAACTGAGAACCAAGTTCGCCAAGAACCCTGACAGAGATTGTTCAGATGCTCCCACTGTTGCAACAGGGCTGTGATGCTGCTGTGCCCCAACTCCGGGGACACCGCCCCGCACAGCCTCCCCAGCAGCCTGAGCATCCTGCTAGAATGCAGATCCTGACCGAGCAGGTATGGACAGGCTGGGAGGCTGCGCGGGGCCTCACACACTTCAGTGATATCCCATTAAAAGGCAACGAATTAGGAGAGCACTTTTTTTTTTTGTACCGGGACTTGAACTCAGGACCTTGTACTTGCCAGGGAGGTGCTTGTGCCACTGAGCTATATCCCCGGTGAGAGCTTCTAATGTGATAGATAGAGACAACTGACTAAAAAGGCTATGCTATGTCAATATGGAAATTTCAGTGTGTTGTAAGAATGTCATCATGACTGTCATGCTAAAATATTATGGATGGCTTTTTGTGGAGGACCACCTGGGTGACCCTCCTTGAAGGAGGAGCAATTGTCTCCATTTTAGCTGAACCTGGCCCTGTTTCCATGTATTGATACGTACAGAGCTGGCTAGGACTTTTCTTTATCCCTTCAGTTGGCTTTAAGCAATGCATATCGGTCTAGTTGAGGTGCTGATGTGTAGTCTTTGAGTCAAAGATGGCAGGCAGTGTCTCCCCAGACCCCTCTTGTTCCCACATGTGAGCCAGGACAAGGCGGGATGAAAAGCCAGCGCTCCTCGTTGTGAGCTGGGATTGAGCCTCACCATAGAGGCTATGACTTCCTGACCCCAAAACACTAGATACTATCTCAATTGTGCTATGCAGATTACTCTTTCTGCATACCCTTCTCTCCATCTGCAGGGGTGATTTCAGGCCTCCTACCCAGCCCAGCTCAGGGCACTCACCTACTTCCCAGGGTTCTCATCCTCAAGCCACTCCCTTCTTCATGAATTAATAACACCCAGGTTCAGTCCTGTGTTGAGGCTTTTGTTCCTGAAAGCCATCATCGTGGCTGGACTCATGGCCCTAGGCTCACCATAATTACAAATATGCTTTAGTGTCTTTATTCTCACCATGGGTTGTGTTAGAAGTAGTAGATTGAAATTAACTAACTAGAATTCCAGTAACTTTTCCACGGGATTACAAGTGTAAATTTCCTGGACGGTGATGAGGACCAGGAAGGGCTCTCTACTGCTTTTGATCTCAATTTTTCTGTGTAGAACTGTGTAACTGTTGCCTGTTAACATTCTACAGGGATTGAACTATTAGAACTTCCATGTTTGTGGGAAATAGCAGTACTACTTTATATTTCAAGGGGCTTGATATTCAGATAAAATTATAATATTAAGTTCGCTTCTCCCACTACAATG